CTCACAGTGATCCTCCTGCCTCAGCCTCCCAAGTGCTGGGATTAGAGGCGTGCGCCACCACGCCCAGTGAGAAATTTCTATTTTAATATCAACCCTTAGTTGTCTCAGACACCTACGACAACTGTGATGTCACGTTCTTCTTCAGTCGCTCAGTTTTCTGCTTCAGTCCTTCCTTTGAAAGAGCTGACATGCGAGCATCACCCTCAGGAGGAACGTAGGCATCGAAGATACTAGCTGCGGGGAGAGAAGAAAACTAAACAACTGTTGAAAGACTGAGGTCGTTCGTATGCAATCAGGCAGGACCCTGGATAGGGAGTAGACTACTCCAACTGATTTCAGTGTAAGTGGGCGTGGTGAGACCTGACTAGAATCACTGAAGCTGACGCAAGAGGATCACAAGTTTGAGTCCAGCCTGAGCAATGTAGCAATTCATTGAAACCCTGTCTCAAAAAATTACGAAAGAGGGCAGGAGGGGATGTGGCTCAGTGGCACCGTGCTGCCTTGCAAGTCCAAGATCCTGAGTTTGATTCCAGGTACCAAAAAAAAAAAACCACAACTTACATTTGCTGGGGATTTAGCTCAGTGATTCCACTGCCTGCCTTACAAGCCCAAGGATTCGAGTTTTGATCACCGGAACCAAAAAAGAAAAAAAAATTCTAAAAAAAAAGAGAAAGGGTTGGGGCTTTAGCTCAGGTAGTAGACCTAGGATTCAATCTTCCAGTACAGAAAAAAAACTTCAATGTATATAGAGGGAACTATGTTACAATGAAAAAAAACAGAAGAATTTAAATCTATTCTCAGCACCTGTTTCTACTCTACCAAATTGGATAATTTCACTCTTGTATAAACAGTGTGAAAACATCAAAGATGATCTTGAAATATACCATATAGAAATCATTGTTGTAAGGGCTAGGGATTTAGCTCAGTAGTGCTGTGCCTGTCTCATAAGGTCCTGAGTTTGATTCCTAGTTTTAAAAAATATTTTTAAAAGGAAAAAAAAAAATTTTTTTAAAAAAGAAAAGAAATCATAATTGAAGTTGAGCTGATCCAGCAGTTAATATAATGCTGCCCATCACAGTCCAAGTCACTACAAGTTCCAGAGGCTCTGACAGTAAAGAGAGCAGGTCAGGGTCCCAGAAATACCGTATCTTACCGGTACAGGCCAGATGTATGGGACGTTCCAAACGTTCTGGAGGAATAACCAATCCTGCTTTCCGTGCATGTTCTAGAAATTCCTTTTGCGTTTTGTGTTTCTGTTTGTAAGTAGGAGGTGTGAAACGTTTTTTAGTTCTGACAGGAACCAAAGCTGTGTACTGAGTCACCAGAATGGGCTGGAAAGTAAGGGAAAGGTTAGGATATAAGTAACCTGGGGAGGAAAACCCCATCTTGAACAAACTCTACTCAAAGTCTTGTAGAAATACCTAAATTATCAATTATCACAGGGAAAGATCCACTACTACCCAAACACCTTAGCGCTATCTCCCACCTTGATGATCTTTACTAACATCACTCAACATTTACTAAAATGTTTAGTATACTCAATAGTACTGGTCGCAGTTCATGAAAGCAAGGCATCTGTTCCAAGAACTTTGATTTGATGGGGAGCTTGAATACCAATCCAAGGCCAAAAAGGATAGAAAACTTTTTTTTTTTTTTGAGACAGGATCTCATTATTCAGTTCAGCTGGCCTTGAACTCACTATGTAGGTGAAGCTGGCCTCAAATTAGCAGCGATCCTCCTGCCTCAGCATCCTGAGCGCTGGAATTACAGGCATGTGCCACCATGCCAGGCGTTTTTTTTTTCCTCCCCACTTTGAAATGCTTTTTTTTTTTTTTTTTTTTACCGGGGAGAGCGAATAGGACCTGGCTCTTGCGAGGTAGGTGAGGGAACCACTGAGCTAAATCCCCAGTCCTGGAATTCTATTATTAAAGTAAAGCAGATTCCTTATCTTGGAATCTCCTCCACGTTTATTCAGATTTCATTTCACTCTTTTTATGCGGAATCTCACTGTTAACTTTACTGTGTCCTGCTAGCTCGCAAATGACCAATAAGCTTTTTCAAATCAAGGTGACTTTCTTCTGATCACGACGTTTACTCGGGCAGGAACTGTGACAAGATTCCCTTTCCCGACTACTATTTATCTAGGCTAGGTGTAAGAATCAAAGAGATTCCACGTTCTTTCCCCTATTAAACCAAATCTGAGAAATTTAATTTCCGAAAATCCCCTGGCTCTCACACCCCGTCCAGGATCTCCAAACTCCGCCTCTGAGAAGTTTGAGGTCTCCTTTACCTCAAACTCTTCCCCATGCCGGCCCTGGTGGCGCATACCTAGAATCCCAGAACCCGGAGGGTAAGGGAGGAGGATCCCTGTAAGATCCAGGCCAGTCCGGACTATAGAGTGAGTTCAAAGCCGGCCTAAACTGCATAGAGACCTTCTCTCAAAAAAATAAAATTAAAAAAGCTTCTTTCCAGTCCATCCTAAAAGTCCTATATGCTCCGTCCCTACCCACCTGCCGAGACCACCATCCCAAAGCCCTGGTTAAGCAAGAGAAGCCAGGCGACAGGGAAGCTGCCATTTTGTTGGCGAAAAGGCTGCCGGGATGGGAGCTGAGCGTGAGGAGCGTGAGGTAGGCGAGAAGACGCACAGGGCGGAGCTAGCGCGCGAGTGGAATTTTCCAGGGCGCGCGCCCTGCGCCGAAATGTGGGCCGCGCGAACGCGCACGTGCTTGTGGGAGTGGGGGAGGGGGGCAGGCCGGTAGCGCGTGCGCAGTGGGATCACGTTGGGGGTGGGGGAACGCACGGCTGTCACGCGCCAGCTCTAGTGCGCTTGAGCTCGAGCTGCGGCTGCGCGAGAGGCCGTCCCGCTGCCTGGGGTTGCTGTGCTTTATTTAGTCCCCGTAAGAAAACAGAAAGTGTCTCTCCCTGAAGCCCGGGAGTTGAGACAAGTGTTTTTCCTCAGCACCTGGAGTCCCTGGAAAGTACGTGGATCACAGAGCAAAAGAGAATAGTTTCTGACCTCAATGTGCTGCGAGGTAACCTTAAACCTGAGCCCTGGTTTTCCCTGCCTGCCTGGTGGAGAAAATCCTTGTCAGGTCAGGGGAATCGTCCTCTGTGTTTGATAAAGTAAACGGCCAGAACATTTCTGGTCAGTTTGGAAAAGAGTCCCGGACCTACACTCTTAACAAATTTAAAACGGTAGGGGCCGGGGATTTGGCTCAGTGGTTCCGCCACTTGCCTCACAAGTATAAGGGCCGGAGTTCGATCCCCGGTACCAAGATTATAAGACTACAGTAATAGCTAATAAACCTAAAAATTGTTCATTCAGTGGCTGGCAATGCGCTAAAATTTTACATACACTCAATCCTCACCAGAAACAACAGTAGTATTACCGTTGTGCACGTGTTGTTCTGCAGAGAGATTAAATAGGTAAATTATTTCAGGTTAGACTGCTGATAACGTGCAAGAGATTCAAATCCAAGCAATGTAACCCCAGAGGCCCCGCAACACGCGCACACATAGAACTCTGAGCTACATCTGCAGCCCAAGACCTATGTTCTTTTTGTTTTGTTTTTTGAAACAAGGCCTCATTGTGTATTCCAGGCTGGCCTCGAACTCACAACAATCTTGCGTAAGCTTCCCAAGTGCTAGTATTACAAGTATGCACCACCATGCCCAGCTCAAATCTATGTGTGTCGTTTGTTTTGTTTTGTTTTTTGGTACCGGGGATCGGGTCCTTGCCCTTGCGAGGCAGGCGCCGGAACCACTGAGCTAGATCCCTGGCCCTGTGTGTCATTTTCGTTTTTGTTGTTGTTTGCAATTGGGATTGAACTCAGAACTTTGTGCTTGTGAGACAAGCACAGTGCCACTGAGCTAAATCCCCCGCCCCCCAAGACCTATGTTCTTAACCACCGAAAAGTACTGCTTCATATGGAGCTCTTAAAGCCATCATAATGTTGGCATTATCCTGGAAAATCCCATTCTGTAAACACTGCTGAATGACGAACACTTTCCACACTTTGTCATTGGTTCTTATTCTGCCAATTAGTATGTTTTCCTGTATCAGGAATCGAACTCAGGACCTTGTGCTTGCCAGGCAGGTGCAGTGGGAGCTACATTCCTGGCCCCTGCCAATTAGTATTTACAGGGCACTTATCCACAATATTTCACAGAGTTGGGAGCTTGATTCTGCACACAAGAGCTTTTAGGCCAGAGAATTGGTACAAAGTTTGGAATAAAGTGCTAGAGATGGTCAGAGGAACTGAGAGATTGTTTATGGGTTTGGAGATCACATGTACATATGTTTTTTTGTTTGTTTTTTTGTTTTTTTTGAGACAGGGTCTCACCATGTAGTCGGGACTGACCTGGAACTCACTATGTAGAGCCCAGGCTGGTCTCGACCTCAGAGAGATCCTCCTGCCTCAGCCTCCCAAGTCCTGGGATTATAGGCATGTGCTACCACACCCAGCCTGTACATATGTTTTTAAAATCTTAACTGTACAGAAAATTCTTGAAGGGTAAAAATTTCCCCACTCATTGTTTCTCTGGTGTGAGAAACCAAAAGTGGAGGTAAGGACCAAAATGTACACTAGATATTGGGAAATGGGAAGAAAATGTTCAAATGAGAAGGGAACAAGGTGGGGGGGAGCAGGGACAAGAAAAATAAATAATAGAAGTGATATGGGGGAAGAGATATAACTCACAAACCTGCTAGATATCCAAAACTCAACTCTGTGGTCTCTAAAATTGAAGAATGAATTTTAGCCACATGGAGGTTAAGAGTAGTAAGTATTGAAAGACAGAAAGATAGGGGTGGCCTGGGCACCCCCTTTCTCAAAGCAGTTTTACACACAAAACCAGGAGTTGATGTGGGTATAAGGTGGGACAAAACTACAGTCAATTAATAAGATAATAAGTATAGTCGCTTGGGTTATATGGTTAAAGAGGATCAAATGGGGAAAACAAATCCAGAGCGCGCACAGAATGAATTTCTGTGTATCTTGGATTTTCCCAGAAGGAACTGGTAAGGGGGTTCTGGTCCCCACCCAAGGTGACTTACACCTATTTAGATATCAATCACTGCTGTTTATCCCCAGGGGAACATGTGGGGGGAGCCGATTCTCCCATCTTGAAGCCTGACCTTCAACAAACCTGCCTCTGGCCACAGCTGTAATATGTTCTTACCTTCTGCCTTGACTCTCGGGCAGACCCAGCCCTCTCCTGACTGCCTGTAATTTTTTTTCTTTTCTCTTTCTCTTTTTTGGTGCAGAGGATACAACTCTGGACCTTGCGCTTGCAAGGCAGGCGGCAGCACCACTGGGCTAAATCCCTGGCCCTGCCTCTAATATTTTAAGTAACTTATCTATCTATAATAGTCTCCCCTCTGAAGAGCTATCCCTAACTTTGGTAGAAGAGAAAAGGTGTAGTTTCCATCTAGCTGGTTTGAGCTGAGAGGGGTTGGTGCCCTCTTGGGATGGGGACTTAGCTCAGTGGCACTGCGCCTGCCTTGCAAGCTCAAAGTCCTGAGTTTGATCCCTGGAACTGCAAAAACAAACAAGCAACCAAGGGTTGGGGTCATGTTGCAGTTTAGCAGTTATGAACTCTTCACAAGGTCTGTATAGTGGATCCTGACAAAAAGAATCTGGCAGGGGCTGGGGATTTAGCTCAGTGGTTCCTCTTCCTGCCTAGCAAGCACAAGGTCTTAAGTGTGATCCCCGATACAAAAAAAAAAAAAAAGAAATTAGAGAATGTATAATCACAGGATGAATACTAGAGTGGAAAGGCAGGTTGGGAAAAGAGCAGAAACTGCCTTTAAGGAAGCGAGTAGTGATTGTAACCAGCTGGCTCTTAGACCCTTAGAAGTCTGGTATTTCTTGTCATAAATTCCTCTAGTTTCAGCTACAAGATGATGGAGTTTTGTGGTTTTGGACAATTTTAGCTAAGGAATTTAAGGACTTTTGTTGAGCTTTTATAGATTTTACTGTAGTTTTTTCTTTAATGAACTATAACACTGATCAGCTACCAGTGCAGCTAGAAATTGCCAGAAGGGGTCAGTGATGGGAGCCTTTTTTTTTTTTTTTGGTACTGAGATCGAACGCAGGCCTTTGCACTTGCGAGGCAGGTGGCGAGCAGTACCACTGAGCTAAATCCCTAGTCTGTTCTCTTTTATTTTAATGTCACATGGTGGCAGTTCCCAAACTATGGACTAAGGTTCTCCCAACTCAGCGGATCCATAGGATATATCCTATGTTCAGGGGAAAAAACAGCAAAACTTTACTTGTCAGGTACTGGTAAATGTTAAAGCAGTTAACAAATTCAACACTACATCATGATTTTTGTGGTTCAGGCTGGCCCTGAACTCACTGTGTAGCCCAGGCTGGCCTCCAGCTTACAGCAATTCTCCTGCCTCTGCTTCCTGAGTGCTAAGATTGCAGATGTACACCACCATGGCCAACATGGTATTATTTTTTATATCTGTTGGTTATAAGTTTTTCTGCTGGTCATTTAGGACCAAGTTAGCCGGGGATTTAGCTCAGTGGTTCCATCGTCTGCCTTGTAAGTACAACGATCCGAGTTCAATCCCCAGTATCAAAGAAAAAAAGAATAATTTCAAGCTGGGCATCATGGTACACACCTGTAATCCAGCACTTGGGAGGCTGAGGCAGGAGGATCACTGTGAGTTTGAGAGCAGTCTGGGCTACATAGCGAGTTCCAGGGCAGTCTCAACTACAGAGTGAGACCCTGTCTCAAAAAAACAAAAAAACAAAAAAAAACAAAAACAAAAAACAAACCAAAAAAGACCAAGTTAAAGTGAGACTTGTGTTAATCAAAATTAACCTCTTACTATATATCAAGGTCAGTTAAGTCTCCTCAGGCATTACTTTGTTTTTTTGTTTTTTTGGGGTATACTGGGGATCAAACTCAGGCCCTTACGAGGCAGACGGTGGAACCACTGAGCTAAATCCCAGGCCCTCAGGCATTACTTTGGAACCACATATGGAGCCCCTCATCTCCTCTGTCAGGATGGGTCACGGTTTTGCTTGAGCCTGTTGCTTTCTGTAAAACCATGGGAGACTTTTCCTTCTTTGGTGACCCTCCCTTGGTATACTGTACATTTGTTGATTCCTGTCCTATGGGGTCCAGCAGCCTCCCTGCTCAGAAGGATGGGTGACTCACCAAAGATGTAGGATCCTGTAGAAAAGATTCTCTCATGTCCTGGGTCCTTGTCGACCTTGGAGGGCCAGGGCCAAAATACTGGCTGTCTTGTTAGCCCAGTTACCTTTCTACTTCTGGCCTCAAAACATTAGTTATTGTAGCCGGCCATGGTGTCGCACGCCTGTAATCCAAGCACTCTGGAGGCTGAGACAGGAGAATCACTGATTGCTGTGAGTTCAAGACCAGCCTGGGCTACATAGTGAAGTTCCAGGTCAGTCTCAACTACATAGCGAGACCCTGTATCCCGCCCCCCAAGAAACATTAGTTGTTGAATACCCAGAAGAGAAGATCAGTTACATCAGTATCTCAGAGGGATCAGTGAACTATTACAATCTCATCTGAATATCAGGCACTTTAAAATATTAAGTATAGCTTGGAGATGGTTATTTCTTATTAACCATGGTTGTTTTAGTACCTGAATCCTTGCAG